ATTACTCACAAACACCAAAATTAATATTGGAGGAGTATGAAAATTAATTATAATCAATTTTTTATTTAGAAACTAAAAATAAAATGATAAAATTTAAATATGGAAACCACTCTATATGATGCTTTAGAAAAGATCTAACTACTATCTAAGTTTGAAACTTCAAAAGGTATATTTTATTTGTCTTTATCCTAGAATTGAAATTTTATACTCAACTATTATGTTTTCATGGCCCTCAAGAATCCTAGGATTTTATGAAAATTTACTTGATATTGAATATTGTATTTTAATATTTAATCATAATAATTAATAACTAAATTTTATGTCAAATACGAATTTCAAGTCAAATTTGTTTTGCCTCCCTTGAGGTTGTGTTACAAGGCCAAGTAAGGATAGGGATAGCAAAACGGCCCAGTCCGGCCCGTTTTGGCCATTGGCCCGCCAATGTAAAATGGGTTGGGGATGCTGGCCTGCCCCGTCTAAGGACGGGCTGGCGGGCCAGCCCGCATACAAAAAAAATGGAAAAAAAAATATATTTTATGTTCAAATAAAAAAAAATTGCTACAAATAAATAAGGCTTAAATATGTTTAAACTACCTCGAATTACCTCGATTTTCAGATTACTTTTAATTTTTTTTTTTTAAATTACCCGACAAATTTTTTTTTTCAATTTAGTACTGACGTTAGTTTCTTCTGTTAAATGATGATGTTGCAAATAGACTGCCACGTCATCACCCAATAGTGTCTGTCACCTCATCCAAGGGACTGCTACGTGGACATGGTGATGACGTTGCAAACACTGTTGGGTGATGACGTGGCAGTCCATCTGCCACGTCATCACTTGACAGAGGGAGACCAACGTCAAGTACTAAATTGAAGAAAAAAAATAATCAGGTATTTAAAACAAAAATAATAAATTAATAGATAATAATATGAAAACTGACCTAATTGAAGAAAGTAATATTAAAAATCGACCTAATTGAAGGTAGTAATCTGAAAACCGACTTAATTGAAGGTAGTAATATGAAAATTGTCACTGAAGGACAACCTATTTTGAGGCCACCATATTTTGATTGCATAAATTACACTGAGTGAAATGAGCATATGCAAATATTCATAAAATCCATCGACTTCAAACTTTAGTTTGTCATAAAAAATGGACAAACAATTCCAACAAAGATAGTGGACAATGAAGAAGTGGAGAAAAATGAAGATTAATAAGATGAAGAAGACATAAAACACCTGTAACTAGAAACAAAAGCAACAAATGCACATAAATTAGCTTCCCATTGATCATGTATGGAAACTATCGCACTTGATTATAAAAAAAGAAAATTATGGAATTATATTAAAACTCAGTATATATATAATATATATGTGTGTAATATTTATATTTACTAGTAATAAGTTTTTAAATAAAAATTTCATTTCAATTCTTATAAGTTTTACTTGTAAGATAGGAAAGTTAATGCCACAAATATTCATTTAACTTATATATATATATATATATATATATTTTTTTTTTTTCTTTTCCATTTTGTATCTTTCACTTATATGCAAGTACTGAAAATTTATTTGCTAAGTCAAGTCTCCTCCAAACAGAATTCTAGCTACTTTCACTTCAAATCTTACTTTTTTTTACGTTTCCATCATATGTAATATAGAAAAAAGGTGTAGCGGAGTCAAGTCTCCTTCAATTAGGTCGGTTTTCAGATTACTACCTTCAATTAAGTTGGTTTTCAAATTACTACTTTCAATTAGGTTTGTTTTTCAGATTATTACCTCCAATTAGGTCGATTTTCACTTATATTATGTACAATCATGTCCACGTGATAGTCCCTTGGATGACGTGGCAGACACTATTGTGTGATGATGTGGCAGTCCGTTTGCCACGTCATCATTTAACAAAGGAAACTAACGTGAGGTACTAAATTGAAAAAAAAAATTTGTCAGGTAATTTTCACCAATTTTTTTTTTAAAAGTAGTAATCTGAAAATCAAGCTAATTCGAGGTAGTTTAAACATATTTTTTTGCTACAAATAAATAAATATAACCATATGAAATTAAAAATGCATACATATTATACATAATATATGTTCAACAAAAGTAAATTACAAACTTAGAACAAAATCAAATAGAAATTAATCCACTTACACCAAAATCAAAACCAAATTATAAACTTACAAATTACTTATAAACTAAATTTTTTGATAGTCCACAAAACAAGTTCAAATACAATTAATTAACTTTAAATTTTTATTTTAAGAATATTAGAAGCTCTCTTGGAAGAAGTTGTTTGTACTTTTTTCTTAATCATCTTCATCTTCATCTTCTACATCAAGATAAAATAAACATAAAAATAATTAAATTAAAAAAAATATGCGGGTCGACGGGTCGTGGCGAGCCGGCCCTGTAATACCCATTTTTTATTATTTATTTATCAATGGCATTTTCGTAAGTTTTCTTAAAGTTAGAGGGGTAAATGGGTAACTTGGAACGGGCTGTTCCAAAATTGGAACGGGCCGTTCCAAGCAATAAAAAGACACTAAATTTTTAGTTGGGAACGGGTCCGGAACGGGTCCAGAACGGGCCGTTCCAACAAGGAGAACGGGACGTTTTGATTTTGGAATGGGTCGTTCTGGAAGGAGCACGGGCCGTTCTGGATGAGTCCCGAAACGGGCCGTTCTGGTTCCGGAACGGGCCGTTCCAGTTCAAAATTTTACGTAACTTTTTCGGGCCCAGAACGGGCGTTCCGCTTTTTGGAACGGGCCGTTCCGGGTTAGGCAGGCAGAACCCTATAAATAGGGGGTTGGGGGTGTTGGAAAAGCGGGATTGAGAGAGAGGGTCCTAGAGAGAGAAAGAGGAGAGAGAGAGAGAGAGAAAGGGAGAGGAGGGGAAAGAAAGGAAGAGGAATCCAGTAGAGGAGGTTCTGCCAGGGGAGAGAAAAGAGGAGGGAAAAGAGGAGATTCTGCCCGAGTTTCGGTTCTTGTTTAAGGAAGAGGAGGAGGTTCTGCCCGAGTTTTGATTCAGGTTTATCCAAGTAAGGGTAGTACTTATAAGACTTAATCTAGTATGTATGAGCATGATAAGGGTAGTATAACTTTTAATATGCTATTTTGTTTATATGAAGATTATCATTTGTTTAAGTTGATGGTTGTTTTAAGTGTTTAGTTATTTATGTTATTATATTGAATAATTTGGCATGGTTATGGAAATTTTTGGTATGTAATTATGGAATATGCTATATGTGTGTAGTTTGGAAAGCTAATAGAACTTAGAGGAGTAAGGTTATGGTATGGATTAGATCTCTTGGTGAGATCAGGATATAATCTTTGAAAAAATATGAAATTTGGGAATCCCATGGTGAGGATTCCAATATGGAACTTTTCCAAAGATTATATAATAAACCACTTCAGATGTTAGGTGGATTCTGAAGTACTCCTCTAAGTATTCTATTTGCTACCGGTATGGGTCTAGGCCGAGTCATACCGATGGATGAGGTGGCCCCACCAGGGTTACGTGACGACGTAATCCAACTGTATATTTTCCATGAGAGGTTAGGCGTGGGACATGGGTTGCTGACATGTTTCACCGTATCAACACTTGGTTTGGATGGTGTTGAGGCCAACATTTGGTTTGGATGTGTTGGTTACATCATGGATTATACAGTGGTGTGACTTTGTTTTGGATGTGGAATATGTATACATATGGTATGGATTGTATACATTGGTTATGGATTCTTTATTATCATGAAATATGTATGCATTGGCATGGATGTGTATACATTATATTTTGGATTGGTCTATATTTATCTTGGAAATGACTTGTTGGTCTGGATAAATACAGTGGATAAATATCTGTTTAACGATATTTTATTATGATGTACTATGATTGGTTTTATATGTGCTAACCCTTATATTTCCATGATGGACTGTGATGATCTCACTATGTGGGGGAGCAGATCAGGTATGAGACTTTGGGATAGTAAGGAGTCTTTTGGATAGCTGCTTTGAGAAGTGGCTAGGTTTAGAGCTTGACCAGCACCTAGGGTGTCTTATTTTGATGTCTTCATGACGTTGTAATTATATTATCTTTTTGGATTACTGTATAACCTTACTGAGGATGACTCTACTATAAAATTATGTTATATATTTTAGAAACAATTTTATGTGTTATTGTATGTTTACACTCTAGCGTAGCTAGCTCTTATTCTATTTTCTTTTATATATATTATTTATCTTTGGTTGGTTCTAGATGTGACGGCCTAGGGTGGGTCGTTACAGGCCCGCTATTTGGCCCAGGGGGTTGGCGGGGCGGGCTTGACGGGTTGAAATAATAGATCCGGCCTGCCAATTTTTAGCGGGCCAACGGGCTGGCCCGCTGTCCACTTTGTCATCCTTAAGTAAGGATATGATTAGTGGTTTAGGTTTTGGTATGATTAGTGTTAGATTACTCAACTAGACCATCTAGATATAACATCGGAAGGATATATTTGTCTATCAATTTCGAATATGAAAGACAAAAGCTAAGTCAAAACTCTCTCTAAACAAAAGGCCCAAGAAAACAAATGTATTAATTGACTTTTATAATAATAAATTTAAATCTTATATTTAAAATGATTGATGGACTTATTTAATAATAAATTTAAAACTTATACTTAAAATGATTTCTAATTAATTGTTGTAATATGGAAAATTGGAAATTATCTCCATAAAAATCTTATATTAGAATTAATAAGTAAATAAAAAAAGAAAATCCAAACAAAGGAAAAACGGCAAAATCCAAAACAACAGTAGGTCGTGTTTGTTTTGGCGTCATGTTCAGTTGAACGGAAGTACTATGTGAGATAGCTTTTCTGTTTTTGGAGTTTTGTTTTCGTTAAAACAAACACGACAGATGCAGCGGACAAACGGTGTCCACAATCGCACAGCGGCGTGGCAGAATCACAGCCATCAATTTTTTCCAAAGATGCTAACCTCTTCTCAAAGAAACTCATAGAAGCATGTCGCTTCCGCGAATAATCAAGAGTGCAAAAGCCCCAATCACAACATGCATGTCTTTATTATATATAGGATCCAAACCACATCATCATCATCATCCAAATCTCCCATTACTATCTCCCACCTCTCAGCACACCCTTTTCCGCTCTCTCTCCTTCATGGGTTTAATATTTGGAAAAATCAGTGTTGAGACCCCAAAATATGAAGTTATCAAATCCACAAGTGAGTACGAAATCCGCAAGTACGCACCCTCGGTAGTGGCTGAGGTCACCTACGACCCATCACAGTTCAAGGGAAACAAAGATGGTGGCTTCACGGTTTTGGCCAATTACATTGGCGCTTTGGGGAACCCCCAGAACACCAAGCCTGAAAAGATTGCCATGACTGCACCAGTTATAACAAAGGACAGTGGTGAGAAGATTGCTATGACAGCACCTGTTGTGACAAAAGATGATGGTGAAGAAGGGAAGGACAAGAGGGTGACTATGCAGTTTATTTTGCCATCTGTGTATCGGAAAGCTGAGGCGGCTCCTAAGCCTACTGATGAGAGGGTTGTGATAAGAGAAGAGGGTGAGAGGAAATATGGGGTGGTGAAGTTTGGAGGAGTGGCATCAGAGGAGGTGGTGAGGGAGAAGGTGGAGAAGCTCAGGATGAGTTTGGAGAAAGATGGGTTTAAGGTTGTTGGGGATTTCTTGTTGGCAAGGTACAACCCACCTTGGACAATTCCTGCACTCAGGACTAACGAGGTTATGATCCCAGTTGAATGAACTTGGTGGATGTTATTTAGTAATAATGATGATATAGATTTCAGTGCTTTATGCTTGTTAGATGTTGTTAAAGTTTACTCATGTGAACCCCGACCCAGGGGTGGGGGGAGTTCATAAGTATGATTCCTACTCATCAAAAAAAAAAAAAAAAAGTTTACTGATGTGAGGAACTTTATAATAAGTTGTAGTGCTGCATCATGTTATTATGTTTAAATTTAATACACAATGAATGTTTAAATTAAGAACTTTTTATGTGCCGGTTCTTATTCATGATTTTGGTGTCTGTGATTGTGCTTTACATTTACAATGCAATTTTGATCGAAGCAAAACTGTTTATGATTTTGGTGTCTGTGATTGCCACTTAAGTCATTGCAGAACTATTTTCTGGAGTCTGAATTCTGGTGACTTATATTTCAATCCATGCTCAAGTTATTTTCATTCCTATTACACTTCCTTTGTCGAGTGTTGAAAAAAAGTAGTGTGAACGTATCATACTGGTACTTCAATGAACACAAGAATGATGCCAATTGCGTGATTAGAGATTCACTATTGACACCAGCATATGCATATTAAATCGAGATAACTGAGTTGCTTCCAAACACGCTATAAATAAGATGCCAAATTGACATGTGCTAACATAGTTATTTATGTACCACAAGTTAATAGATTAAAATTTAAAGGGGGTTAAGAATGATAATCAAAACACATGCAACTAGTGTACTCTGTTCATCACGCCTCTAAATTGAATTTATAAGATTTTCGACTGTTCCGAAACATAAAACTCCAAATTTACATATCATACACAACAAAGCATAGAGCTTGGATGGCACTCTAAAGTTATCCAGAGAACAGCTTCACAATTATAAAGATTATATTGAAGAGAATCAGGGGAAGTCTCAAGAATTGACAGGCATATATAACCCCTATTACTTGCCCTTTAAGAGAATTCCTCCTAGGTCCTGTCATTTCTGCCAATGTCCATCCTCTTGGAGCAAGGAACCGGTCCTCATTCAAAATAGCCAATGCATTTGCAAAGAGCAGAAAACCTTCTAGCAAAGTCCAGAAGCCCATCCTCTGCCAGAAAAAAAAAACAGAGTGTGCATCTTAGTACTCAGAAAAGCTTCTTAATAACTTCCACTCCACTTTTCACACAAAAATCAGTTAAAGAAATTCAAATATGAATAGGGAATGAAAATCGTCAGAAACACCCTAAAGATAAATAAACATGGCACAAGCAAAATTATAAGGGCACTATTATCAATAGAGGCTATCATTCTTCCTGGCTTGAACTGCATACATGGCCAATGCTTTAACTCCATGATACATAGATCAATAAAGCCAAAACCAAACCCATCCAAGTAAATCAGAGTGCAAGGCATGCTCTACTCGCCTATCCACTACAATCTTACGTGTCCCTCAAGTATCAGATTGCAATAAATCTCTACTCGGCTAAATGGGGATTCAAACCCAACCTAATATAAAATTGTACATAGAATTTACTTGCCAATATAGGCTCATTTTACAGAGAACTCAGGACAGTCTGATCAAATTTCTTAACAACTTCCCAATTTGTTTGGAGCAATAATTACAGTGGCTTTAATAATACCCATACCACGAATCAGAAATAGGACGACCAAATTTCAAATGCACAAACCATGCAACTAAACCCAAAATACCAAATCATCCAAATCATGGAGAACAATATGGAATCACCAGACAGCAGAACACCACGCCCCATGTAGGCAAAGATTCATTAAAGTGTATTTTGTCCCATCCAGAGTTAAAATCACCGCAAAACATAATCCAGTTTGAATTATAAAGCTGAGATGATTCTAGTCTGCAATGGTACAAGATACTACTGCATACAAAGTTTCAATTTTTAGAATAAAATAAGTAAAACGGATCAACTTCGATCAATCAATCCCCATAAGATTCTTCACTGGCAATCAAAGTAATGTATCGATTATAAATTCTACTTCCAAGTTTCAACCAAAGTTTTTTTCCCTCGCAATAGCTAAACAGTAGTTAAAGGCATTAATCTTTCTCAGAAACAAATCAGAGAAAACATTAGTTATCATCTCCCAGTGAACCGATAGCACAACCGAAACACGCATGCAAAAAGAAACATGGTACAAAATTGTAAACTAAGTAGAACAATAACAGTATGGACCATAATATCAGTTAAACGAATTTTGGGCGAACCACAAAAATTGATATCACGCAATACAACCAAGAAGTTAATCAAACTAAGAAGTGATGTCACTAATTTTTGAGGGAAAAAAATAAGAAGAATCGGGATGAGTTTTCTCACCTGTTAAGGAAAAAAGCAACGACCTACGAATTCTCGAGACTGAAAACCCATTCTTAAGAAAGAAATCTCTAGGACTCTCCGAAAACTCATCTAACGACACAGAACGCCCGTCGCTAACACGTTAGCACGAAAATTGAATATATCCGTTGGATTAGAAGTCTACGCAGCAACAGCTGAAACATGCCGCACTATATCTTCCTCTGTAATAGTATTAAGTAAGTAACTTGCCTATTTGAGTGATATTTTTAATTAATATATAGGAATAAAATTTATAATAAAATGATAGTTACTAACTTTAAAAATTAGAATTGATATATCGATTAATTTTTTTTTAAAATTTGTTATTATCATGCTATTCTCACTTATTTTTCAATAAAAAATTTATTATCATTATTTTCACTTATTTGTCAGTAAAGAATGTTATTTTAAAATATAATTGATTTTTTTTTATAATAAAAATAATCATCATATATTTTTATTTTTTATATTATTCTTATTAAACATATCAATTATATTTATGTTCTATTATATGATAAATCTTCTTGAAAAAAAAAAAACCACTCTTTATAAATATTGGAATAAATTTATTAGTGTGATAAACTAAAGAAATAATAAATTATTACTCTATAATAATTATTGTCCTTAAATTATGTTGAATAAGAAAAGTTAATAAATAGATAATTTTTTTTTATAAAATTAATTATTTTGACTAATACTAAATTAAAAAATTAATATAATACTTATTTTAAGATTTTTTCTTCTAAAATGACATTTATTGTGAAGTAGAATGAATATAACAAAATATTTCAATTAACATTAGGATTAGCCTAAAGTTAAAGATTGAAATAGTGTATGTAAGAACTTACGTTGAATTTTATTACTTTCATTATAAATTAAAAATAAGTTTAAACAAAATTAAAAAAGAGAATTTTTATAAATTAATTTATTCATAAGTTAAATTTATTTTATCAAAAAACTTGTTTCATTTTATTTTCCTATTTTACCGTCGTAAACTGGTTTGGAAACTTAATTTCCAAATTCAAACTATTTTTTTGGGCCTTAATTTTTAAGATTTATTATCTAAAAAATATTAAACAAAAAAGAAACTTTTCCGACCCGATTCGGATACCGCGCAATTCAATTGCGAACTACCTGGTCTGGTGTGACCCGATAACATAACATCCTTCTTCAGAAGCATAAAAGGAAAAACCCAACTTTAACGTTAAACCCTTCCACTCATGGCGTCACTCCCCCACCACCACCTTCTTCTTCTTCCCTTTCCCCGCCTCCAATCCAAACCCTTCCCCTCCTTCCAACGCAACATAGCCCCACTCAGAGCCTCCACAACCGAATCCCCCACGCCAAAGCGACGCGGCCGAAAGAAGAAGCCCCCGCCGGAAAACGACACTCCACCGCCCCAAAACGCGGAGCCCCAAAAGGAACCCTCGGAGGACGACGAACTCCTCGACTACGACGACGGCATCGACTTCCCCTACGAGGATCCTCCCCTGGTGTGCTGCTTCGGCGCCGCGCGGAGGGAGTTCGTGCCTACGGTGCGGGTGCAGGCGTACCCGATGCACCCGGACATATACTCCGAGTGGAAGATGCTGCAGTGGAAGCCGCCGGAGTTCGCGCGGGCGCCGGGGGGGCCGCCGTCGAACGTGGCGGTGGCGCACGTGCGGCTGGGGGGGCGCGCGGCGTTCCTGGGGAAGGTGGGGGAGGACGAGTTCGGAGAGGAGCTTGTGCTGAAGATGAACGAGGAGAGGGTGCAGACGCGCGGCGTGAGGTTTGACTCTGGCCGCAGGACGGGGTGCGCCTACATGAGGGTGAAGTTCGAGGAGGGGAGGATGAAGATGGAGATGGTTAAGGACTCTGCTGAGGACTCTCTTCTTGTTGATGAACTCAACCTTGCTGTTTTGAAAGAGGTCTTTATTTCTTGCTCTGATTAATCATTTGGTTTCTATGCCTTCCCTCGATTCAACGACTAAATACTCAGTTTGGTTCCTGAATTTGGAAATTGGTCGTGTTAGTCAATGAAACTAAGGAAATGTCAAATAAGTTTCATGAAAACGCACATTATTAATCCAAAATTGAAAATGTGTGACTAAAGTGATAAAATTGATACGTATTTAAGAATTAAAATGATTATTAGTTAAATTTAAAAATCTTAAGAAGATACTCCCTGTTTTTTTTTTTTTTTTGGATGTTTAAGGTTTATGCACAAGAATAAAGAAAATGATTGATATTTTAGTTTTTAAAATATTTATAATTTATTTTCCTTTTATATCTTTTAGGTAGTTGGAGAAGAAATAAGTACTTTAAAAATGAATAAATACATTGTTCAGTAAATTCACATTGATTATCAAGGGTAAAAATGAAAAAGAAAATTAATAAGTTATTGATTTTAGAAAAGTGACAATGAAAAAAAAGAAAAAAAATAGTGTCAAAATGACTATAAAAAAAACAGAGGGAGTATGATAGCAACCCAATCATTAGTGTCACTCCAGTCCATGATGCTCGGCCCAAGAGACACACAAGAAGGCCTAATTATTTGAATAACTTTGAATAGATACTGTGAATCACATTTAGAGAAATTGGCTGCCCTCTTAGGTGTCATTGACAGATGTTATTGCAGGAGTTTGTTAGAATTGCTGCCACCTATCTTTGCTTTTGCGTTTTGGCTAGTAGATTCCATTTTCTGTTGCCGACAATTGCGGGGAGCCAATGATTGGCAATTGTAATCCTTATAAATACCATCTCAAATAAAATGAAAGGGGGAATTCAGACCATAATTCTTTTCTTAGTAGTAAAATAGGTTCTATCAGAGTAACACATAAGACAATCCTCTTAACACATTTATTTTTATGGGTAATCAGTTAAAAATCACAAAATCAAAAGAGAGACACTAAATAGAGTGTGAGACATACTAAATTTTGTACTTTCCAATAAATTTCAACCAATGAAGGAGAGTGTGTTTAAAATAGTGTAACAGAGAGTGTATTACTACTGGTTTTCTTTATTTAATATTCTAGGAAGTTATTTGATGTATTTTTAATTTCAGGGACTAATATGATACTGATTACAGGAATCAGAATGACTATTTACTCAAATATTTACATTTTAATTCCTGCACACAGAAACTACTCGTTTTAGTCCTTGAACGTTCACTTTTTAACTTCCTTTTTTTAATCTAAACACATCCACGTTGTTTAGTCCCTCAGTAGACACACTTTTTTAATCCAGAAAATGTAAAAAGTTGTTCATGTAGAAGGGCCAATTGAGGAATTAAACCTTGTTTATAGCTACTGGTGTGTCGTTGTTGGGTTGATAGTTTTGTGAAATGTTAGGACTTAGGAACAGCTTATTATGTTTGCAGTTTAATAAGGATCAAATATATGGACTAACTCTCACTTTGAACGTTTTAGTAAATTTAATCCTGAATAACGTTTTAGTCCTTGAACGTTCACTTCCTATGTGTGTTGACTAATGACTATCTTAAAAGTAATGTTAAAGATGATTTCTGAATGATCAACAGAATAAAAAAAAAGTATACACCAACCATGTGTACGTATTAAACTCTCTAAGAATAAGAAAGGAGCTAAGAGAAAGAGATGAGAGGAGTCAATTTTTTTTCCAAAAACCTCTTAGCTTTTTATGAAAATTTGTTTGTCTTACCTTTTCCTTTTAAGGAAAAAAGTTTATAAATAAAAAAGAGTAAGGTCAATACATTACCTGAGTGAGATTCAATGAATAGGAAGTGAAACCTAGGCCATTTTGTAGAGTTGAATAAATTTTAACTAATAATAAAAAGTGAATTGGAAAGAGTGTGTTAGAGAGGTTGTTTTTGGTATTCCTGACTATGCTTTTGCTGCAAGTCAACTTTAACCAATCGTCAAATTTGTTTGGCAAGTATATATTTGGCCCCCAATTTTAGGTTTTTTTATGTAATTTTGTGAATACCTTAACATGACTTGGAAGGTAATGGAGGGAGTGCCTCTTTGAACTAGCTTATTTAAGGGGAACACGATGGTGATAATTAGTTTGTAAAAAGCTTTTTTAAAAGTCGCAATGCAACTTGGGAAGTTTTTGAGAAACAAGAAAAAAGCAATTATTTGAACTGAAACAAGCATTCACTTGCTTTTATTTCAGGTTGCAACTATTTGGTTCATTAGTTTTAGTGAGGTAATGATCATTCACAACAGGAGCTTGAACTTGCATATTTTGAGAGTAAAAAACAAAATAGTTACATCTTAGAAGAGCTTTAGGAAAATGGAAAACAAACTGTTATTTATATTGTAACAAGCGTACACTAGTTTTTAAGTTGGGTTGTAACACTGTGGTTAGTTAGTTTGATGCGGGGTAATGATAAGTTACTGATCATTATAAACATTAGTTTGAACTAGCTTAATTTGAGAGAAAAAACATTTTATAGTCACATCTTAGAAGAGATTTTAGGAAAAATGAGTAAATCAAATATTAAAACTGAAACAAACATTCAATTGCTTTTAAGCTCGGTTGTAACTTGTTGGTTCATTAGTTTGATGTAAGGTGATGGGTATGCAAGAGTTTATCACTAGTAGCATAATTGTTGCAAAATTTATTTTGTATGAACTTGATTTTGGTTAAATGTGGATTACTTGGGAAGTGATTTTTATAATTATGGCCATAAAAATTTCCAGTGGGGATTAGTTGGATATGAACTTTGGTTCAGAGATTTTTGATTGCTTGGATGTGGGATTTTCATTTCATATTGCAGCTACATATTTCTAGGACTTGTTAATGCAGGGAACATTTTTCATTGAACTGTTTGTGGAGGAGCCAATTGTTATTGTGAGTGATCTTTTGAATCTGCTGTGCTGTGGATGAGAAGGTGATTAGCATAGCAATTAATTTTTATGCAGTGTAATTTGTTGGGGATGATTGCTTTATCAGTTAAGGTGTGCAAACAAGGATGGATGAAAATTTAGGAAGTGCTTAGTGTGAGAAAGATAACAATTTAAGATGAAGAGGGAAGAAATTGTTGATGGAGAAAGATTAGATCAACAGCATGCGTCATAGTGGAATACATTGTCAATTTGATTATTTTCCCATTACATTGCTCCTGTTTCCACTCAAACCAAACACAATTTTTTGATGTTATAGCGTATTGTTGGGCTGGGAAATTTTATGTTAGGTAAGGTGGTATAACTACATAGGTGGAGATGGTAATAATTTGTTACTGTGAGAGGAAGATTCTTCAGCATGGACTTGTTTACTGTGTGAAGTGTAAATTGAATTTGTTCCAACTTCTTTTGTGTGGACTACTGCAGGCTAGGGTTTTCCATTTCAATTCAGAAGTTCTAACATGCCCCTCGTTGCAATCCACTCTATTCAGAGCAATTAAATGGACTAAGAAGTTTGGTGGCCTTGTATTTTTTGATTTAAATCTACCATTATCTCTCTGGAGATCACGTGATGAGACAAGAGAAATAATAAAAAAAGCATGGAATGAAGCAGACATCATTGAAGTTTCAAGAAGTGAGCTAGAATTCCTTCTAGATGAAGAATATTACGAGAGGAAAAGAAATTATAGGCCACAATACTTTGCTGAAAGTTATGAAGAAACCAAGAATCGACAAGAGTATTACCATTACACTGCTGAGGAAGTATCGCCTCTGTGGCATGATCGACTTAAATTCCTGTTTGTGACAGATGGAACACTTAGAATTCACTACTATACCCCTGCTTTTGATGGTTCCGTGGTGGGGACTGAAGATGTGCTCATAACCCCGTATACTTGTGATAGAACTGGCTCAGGTGATGCTGTTGTAGCTGCTATTTTAAGAAAACTAACCACTTGCCCAGAAATGTTTGAAAATCAAGATGTATTGGAGAGACAGCTACGGTTTGCTGTTGCAGCAGGAA